AGTGTTTGATGATCACTGTGGGCTTTGTGGTTCTGGGCTGCAGAAAGGCAACTTGGAAGTTCTGTGTTCTCACCACCTGAACATTTAAAAATTCTTCAAGGTCCAAGCTGAGCACCTGGCAACTGAAACTTTTGGAATCAAGCAGTTTCTGTAAAAATGTAGGGTTTGGTTTTACAAAATGGCAGTGCTGATGTCAGAGTGGCTGCTCCAAAGCACGAGATAAGCAGGAGAAAGGAAAGGTTGCAAACCTGGCTGTACATTTTTTTACTTCATCTTCTTTGAAGGAATATTTCAGATTATTGGCAAAGGGAAAGATGCATTTCTGCTTTACACAAAGTCCAGCTCTGAGGAGACACTGCCTGAGCCAGGGCTTGTGGGGAAACTTGTTCTGACTTTCTGTTCACACACAATTAAAGCTCTGCAAGGCAGCAGCTCCCACTGGGAGCAGCTCTCTGTTGAGAGGGAGATGATGGGCAGGACAGACTGTTCTGCCCCGCTTTGTTTCTGGACACCAGGGAAGTGCAGCATGACCTTAATTACATGAAGTGGGCAGTTTTGACATCTTTTTCAAATTACAGAACTGAAACTCTCAAATTCTTGGTGTATTCATCTCTTTTTTGAGGAGCTCTTCACAGAGAGATGCTCCTTCCACACCCTGGGTCTGCATGGGGCTCAGCCACGTTCCAAATCCATTAGAGACTTGGAATACACTTCAAAATAACACTCTGAACGAGAATTTTCTTCCCCTTCCAAAAGCAGCGCCATCAGTGCTTACTGAGAACAGGGCTGTAGCCAAATAAATATGGACTTTCTATACAGTGAGCAAGCCACACTCTAGAGATATGATGTTCCCAGAAATGGTAGCAGGCTTTTCAAAATTAAAAACCTCTGGACATTTTATTTATGCTCCTCTGTTAACAAATGCCTCGTTTGATTGCTTTTAAATGTTGTGTTTCTGGAATGAAAATAGAATACTGGCGTTTAATTCTGTATGTGTTATTATTTCAGCTTAGGAGAAGGCAGGGAGATGTTTTTTTTAAAAGACTGGATTGTTTTAAGATCATTTTAAAGCCAAATGTTTAAATACTGACTGTTTTAACTTACTTCCAATACTCTCCAGTAACTGGTAGAAAGCCTGAATCTTTGTTCTATGACTTCTTAAAAGGTTTCAAGTTGATTGAAAAGTTTTTTTGTCAAAGTCTTGGCTAACTTGGTTTACAAGACCCTGGTGAAAATCTCTTGCAATTTGGGGTTTCTCTGATTTGTGGTGTTGCCTTTTAGCTGGACTGACTTTTCTGATAGTGAAAAATAAACCTGTAGGCAATTTGCTTGCCATGAAGCCATGCAGGGTTTGGCTGTATTTTGTTTTATGTGTCTGATAAAAGGTTAGGAGGAAAGGGAATGAATATCAAGCACTGGAATAGAATGCTCTGAAAAGTGTCTTAGGTCTGAATATTTCTCTGATTTTTGGCAAAATGTAAATCTCCACCTGATATGGAGCAGGTTCTGTCCATGTGAGCAATTGTTGGTTAACCAGCACCCAAATTTTTGCTCTTCTGTGGATCTGGACTTGTCTGAAAGGATCTTTCAACTATCCCAAGGGCCAGGTCTAACAGTTTTTTCAATTTATCTTTTTTAAAATGTACTGAGAAGCAAAATTATATTCTCTATCAAGTGAAATGTCTGTGCTACAGTCTGGTTTTGCAGCTGTCTGCAAATACTTCTGAGGTGGAAATTTTTTTCTGAGATGGGATTTGCATGGTCAGTTGCAGGAAAAACAAAGGTATTTACATTCCTATCCCACTTCCAGATCTTCTACTTGTCTTAAAAATTAAGGGGTGTTTTGGTTTGGTTTTTAATAAGCATTTTTATAGTTACCTGAAAAACCTGAAATGAGGAATGAGAATGGATGTTTATCCATCCAATTTTTATGTGCGCTGCAAAGAGTTAAAAACCTTTGAAAATACTTTGTGCAAAGCTTTTAATTGGCATTTAAAATGTTTATTGCTACTTTACTCATAATTAGTGTCTAAATTTGTCAGCTCATATGGCAGAGCTGCAGCTTTTAGATCAGAAATACTTTCTGTTTTCTCTCCAGCTGGTTTCCTGTAAAGGGCTGAATTATTCTAGCTTTTATGGGTCATTGTTAAACATGGCAGGAAGGGTCATTGTTAAAAATGTTTTCAGAACTTTGATAACCAGTTTATCAACTGATTCACATGTTTAATCAGTTAATAGGTTTTCCTTTTCAGTGCATGGGAATTTCTTTGTTTATCTTAACTGAGTAACTGTTTCTCCAGTGGAAAGAACTGTAGTTGACTGATAATCTTTTCAAATATGTGGAGTTTGCTCTCGTGACACAACTGGCATGAACAGATCCTGCACTGTTACTCCTAAGTCTGTGTTTCTAAGGAAAGGTCCATCAGAACAAGGGTTTGCATGCGCTTGGAAGTCCCAGATGCTCTGGTACTCTGGGGAGACAGGGCATGGAGCAAAAGTCATCAAGCATTTTATGATGAGGCTCCTGAAGGTGGTTGTTGATTAAAAAAAGAGGGACAGGTGCTTTTGAGAAGTGCCAAACCCCAGGCTCCTCCAATACCTCATCAAGAAGATTTTTTTTCAATATATTTTATCAAAAGTGTCAAAGGGCACGTGTTTAGTATGAAATATCTCCAAGAATCACCATCTTGTGGCTTTCTGAGCACCTGTCTGGGGGCTGCACCAGCTTTCTGCTTTTTTGATTTTTTTTTTTAAACTTTTCTGCTAATCTCCAATCTGAGCCTACCAACGCGCAGTTTTTGATGTTGCCCCTTGTTCCAACATCTGTCTCAAACAAGAAGTTTGGCTCTGTCATCACTAGAATTTCTCTCCAAGTGAGGGAGTTGTATCTATCTCCTCTCAGATAACCTGTTATTAAATCACCATCTCTTCATCAGGCCCAAGAGGCCAAGGCCACGCTCAGATGGAGCCCTCACTTGCTGAGAGCACTCTTGGCTCATGTTCAGCTTGAAGAAGGTTTTTTTCTGCCATCCCCATTGTAAAAAGGCCAGTCTGCTCCTGTGTTTATAAACAAACTCGAGGCCAGGCAGAACTGTAAACTTTATTTTGCTTTTTTCAGAAAATAAATGCATTGATGTTTGCTTTCTACGTAAAGCGTGACTTGGCATGGAAAAATACACAGCAATAAAGTTGCAAAATTTAAGTTTACATAACATTTATCTGCCTCGAAATTGCAGATATTTGGAGAGCCCTGCAACCCTCAGCTGGGTTTGCAGGAGAATGGTGTTCATGGAGTCACAGCAGCTCCTGGAGTTGGCATTTGTGAGAAGGAGTCAGCAGCTCGTTCTGTGGACCTGGGATTTTTAGATTTATTCATTCCTGTTGCTACATGAAGGAAATGCGCTGAGATGAGCACAAGCCCAAGTAAAACTGAGATCACATTGGAAACCCAGACATGGGGGCTTTATTGGGATGGCCCAGGCTGAGGAAGGCACTGCACACCTTTTGGCTCACATCTCGACTATAAATTCCTCCCATAAACAGCAGAGAGGTGAAATTCTTAGATTAGACATAAGAGCGGAGTTTTTACAATGGGGGTGGTCAATCACTGGCACAAGTTGCCCAGAGGGGTGGTGGATGCCCCTGCCCTGGAAGTGTCCAGGACCTTGTTGGATGGGAATTAGGGGAAGGTGCCCCTGCTCATGGCCTTTAGAAGGTGCCTTCCAACTCAAACTACTCCATGATTCTGTGAAATGAACTCTATTCTGTCCTCTTGAGAGTGTGCTGGGAGTTCTGATGGAGAGCCTTGGTTGGGAAACACAGCTGGGCCTGGATATGTCCCAGGGAAAGGTGTGTCCTGGAGCCTGCCAGTCCTGGGCTGTGCTGCCATCCAAAGTGATTGTTCTGCCACTGACGTGAGACACAATGAGCAGGGAGGAGGCTGCAGGGATTTGTTCTTTCCCGTGGCCACCAAAAAGCAGGACACGATGGGAGGGAAGCAATGGACTCTTGTGGATGAGAAGACAGCAGAAGGTTGGGTGAAGGCAGTTGTAAAACTTGCGTTGATTCAGCCACTGTTTCATATGGAGCATGAATTCAGTGTTTTATTTGATAAAGCAAAACTTCCTGAGCCTTGAGCAGGATGTTTAACTGCGGGCATTGAAAACCAGGGATACCAATCCTGCTTGCATTGTTTGAGTCCAACAAACCTGTTAGAAAAAATATTTTATCAAAAAAAATGCTTATTTTAAAGACGCTGCTGCGACATGTGGGGAAGATAAATGAAGTGTTACATTTGAAACCTTTTTTTTTTTTTTTAATTAATTGTCATTTTTCTGTTCTCTTCTACTAAAAATCTCCTCTGTGGTAGAGAGCCAGAAGCAAATGCGACCGTCCAATTTGTTGCTGGAGCTTTCTGAAATTTAAACCCAATTCATTAGGTACAACGTAGGTGTAGAGCGTGGGCAGTCATTAGGATTTCAACAGCAAATAATGCAGCCCATGAAACATCAGACTTATTTCCTTCTCATGTAAAACACAGTAATGTGTTTCACCCTGGCTAAATGTGCTCTTGAGCTTTTATGTCAGAGTGAATCATGATCTAACGCTCACCAGATTAAATCTAAACGTTGCAGTATTTCCTTTCTAATTCTGGCTCTTCCCACTAGGATAATATTATTTGTCTCGTCAGTTATGTGCAAGTGTGAATGAGGAGATGGAGTTTTCACATGTGTGCAAACACCCATGGAAGCGCGGCCCGCGGGGAGAAAACCCCGCCAGATAATTAGGTAAAACGCATCATAAGATCCATGTCCGTAGGGCCAGCGTGGCCCAAAAGACTTTGATTTGTGTGAATTCCTGCTCCAAACGGGAGGACTCTGGCTGCCTCTGCAGGGAGGACCTTTGGGCCCGCGGCTGGCAGGCCCCGAGCCGACGGCGCAGCCGAGCGGGCCCTGAGCGGCCGCGACAGCCCGGCCACCGCGGCCACCTGCGCCCAGGCCTCGTTAGCGCCCGGCGGCCTGAGCCGGGCTGGCGGCCCAGCAAAGCCGCCCAATTAGCAGCCCTGCAAGCCCCTCTCCAGCCAGCCATCACTAACACTCCCGATCAAACCTGACATCTTCCCCCCGCTCCCCCTGCCCCAAACTCCAATTAGTTGAAGTGGTTTTACTGGGGGACGTGGCTCTGCTGAAAAGGCAGAGGACTTTGCTTGGGTAATCAGCTTAAATAGCGGCGCGTTTCCTGCCCTCGCTGCTCCCAACTTCCCATTTGGGAGACATAAATACTGGGTTTATTTTAAAATCTTTTTTATCTCCAATTTCCTCCAGTTTTTCTGATGGGCCTCGTACACGACTCCATTTCAAAGGGCAGGATGGTGCAGCCAGTAAAGTGGATGCAGACAGGAACTTTTAAGTTCAATGTTGGTTGCCTTTATTGGAAGGAGGGGGTAATGAGGGGTTTCACATGGAAAAGGTTCATCTTCTCTGACAGTCATAAACTGGTGATAATTAGGAAGAAATTCACAGTTCCATTTATTTTTATACTTTTTTAACACTCCTGCTCAAACAAGCATTTTGCGTTTTCTGCTGCAGTAGCAGAGCAATGATTTTCTTTTTTTAAGTTATAAAGAGGTTACAGCTCATTGTGTACATTTTTATAAATATATTCACCTGAAGACATGTCTGGGTCGGCTGTAAGACAAGCTGTGAAATGCCAATGTTCAGAGAAGACAAAAGTTGTTGAAGAAGCATCTGTAATTCAGTATAATACACAGTTCAGTTTCTGCCAAGGTTGAATTCTTCACTTTTCATTACTCAAGAGAATTTCCATGGAGTGAACGGGCTTTGTGAGGTCAGGGTCTTTGCTTGAGTGTGTTTAATTTTAGGAGGGCAAACTGTGGAAACGTTCCTGTGCTTCAAGTTATGCGTGCACACCATTTTATTCCTGTATTCATCATTAATTTTTGGTTGGCAATCTGTGTTCAGGACCCAGATGAGATCTCCTGAGGAGTGTTCAGAAGCTCCTCCAATGTCAAGAAGTGATCTTTCCTTTCTTAGAAGGAAAATCAAGCTTTTCATCTCACCTTTTTATTTCAAAAGGAAAGGACTGGCTGGTGTTGATCTTAATCCTATTATTTGGCTGGAAATGTATTTGGGTTCCACATCCAACAACTGGACCCAGCTCAGCTCCTCAAGGGCACTAAAATAAATTGACAGACATGCAAGACTTGCAGAAGAACTTCCAAACGCAAGCTTAGGAAGCTGATAACAGTCAAGCTTTCCTAAGCATGACCTTGTTAACAGTAATGGTTAAAGGGTGTTTTTTTTGGGGGGAAGGTGTCATGTTCCTCACCTCATGGCAGCAGAGCCAGGATCCCCTTCCATCTCTCCCAACCAGAAATGGATAATATCTTTTCCTGACTGGGTTTTAGGGGAAAAGCATGTTGTGTTCCCAGGTGTTTGAGAATTGAAGAATTACCCTTTTTTAATGTATTTTATTGATGTCAGTTTATACATTTATTACCTTTTTTTAATGTTAACCTTGTGTGTTGCTATTTCTCCAGTGCCAGTTTTCTAGCTCTGCTTAATGATGAATCATGAACATTAACTTTATATATGTGTAATGCTTTATATATATACACATGTATATTTATATAAAAATCTGGGTGGTGGCAGGGAGAGACGGATTCTGTCTGCTCCATCTTTTGTTTGGATCTAGTTGCCATAGAAACACTAGGATCAATTTTGACAGACTGAAATACTACAAATTACCCTGTCTAATGACCTCACTGCACAGGGCTGGCACGTTGGATTGCAACATTGCTGAAAGGAAAAGCGTGAACGCTGCAGGAATTTCTGCTCCATGGAAAAATGTTATTTTTGGATTCCTCGGGAAGGCGTGCACATAAAACCACCGGTTCCCTGGTGAGTGACTGGTCCCTGAGACCAGCACAACTTTCATCTGAATTTTTGGTTGTGGTAGGTGATGTCATATTTGGCCATACGTTTCCTTAAGCTGCAACTGGCATCTCACTGAGAAAAACCTTCATGTTTGCCTGTTAAACACTGAGGCAACTGATTTCTGACAGGAAGACTGACAGAATGAGTCTTTTTTCTTCCTTTTTTGGTGTCATCTGCTACCTGCATGCCTTGGTATTGATGCAGATGACATTGGTTTTGTGGTTTTTTACCTTCCTGATCAATTAAGGAGCGTTGAATTCTGCCTTGTGTCTCAGAAGTGGTTCATGCTGGAAACAAATGCCCCTTTAATTCCTGACCAGTGTGTTTTGGGATGGATTCTCAGTTGCAATAGGAAGTCCCTGCTGCATGGGGACAGCTGTGACATCTCAGGTTGCTCTGGGTTTTCCTTCCATGCTGTTTCCATGCTGATATGGGCCCTGCAGTTTGACTCAGGGAAATGTCTCGTGCAGCTTTATTGCTGTGAAGTAAAAGACACGTTTAGTCCTGGGTTTTATTTAGACCCATTTATGTTGGTATTATTTGTACACAGGGAGACAATGTGTGCGAGTTGGCAAACAGCTCAGCCATTCTGGTTTTCTTCTAGTCAAGAATATTACTCTTGCTCTATCTAATCTAGAGTTGTAAATTGCAGCAGAGGTACAAATCCAAAACAAACATTCTGAAGAATTTGAATGGAGTAGAGACCCAATTTCCATTGCAGTTCCCTCTCTGTTGTCCAATTTGTTAAACACAAGTGGTCCCATGTGCGAGTAGCATGACTGCCAGAAGCACTCTGCAGCCATCTGCTTTTCTGGTGAGTCTTTGATTATTTCTCTGTCCAGTTTTCTATCCAAAATTAGAACTGGCAACTCAATTGGTTGATTAATATTGTATTTTTTATCATTTCACATTTCCAGCTTATGGCTAGGAAATGTCAGCAAGGTCATAAAAAGCACAAGGAATGAACTTTCCTTCTCAAGACCAACTTTACCGTGGTAGAATTTCTTACCATGTTGTTTCAGCCCTTCAAGAGCAGCAAGAGAATTGAATAGGAAAGGTTTTATTGTTTGTGGGTAACACCAAACTGGAAGGAAAAGACAAAACAGCCTGGATTAAGCTGATGAGCTGTGTTGGAGATGTGAAGAGCTGCCAGGCACTGATAGAGGCATTCCCAGCAGAGATGAACTTAAAGCCAGCACTGCCTATAAACTCAAACTAGGGGACTGGAAGGAACCACTGGATCTTTTAGAGTCTGTGGGTTATCTGGGCTGAATTGTAGAATTTAACAAATTGGAACTGAAGGGGAAGTTGGCTCTTAGGCACCCCAGAGCATTCCTGAGTCCTGGTGCATGTTGTGGGCAGGGTCCTTGTGTGTTTGTGCAGCTTCAAGGTTGACAGAAACTGAAATTTTTAGATGCTTAAAGCAGAAATTCTACTGGAAACACTGTGAGACAAGCAGAGGGTGAGTGAGAACTCTGGGTCATTGCCCTTGTATTTACTGCACAAACTCCCTGGTGCATGACAGGATGCTTTTGGATCAGAGCGTGCCGGGTGTGTCCGGGGTGGGAGCCAGAGGAGCAGAAATGGATGAGCCCTGGAGCACAGACTTGTCCAGTGAGATTGCACGAGAAGGAGTAACTAAATATTCATTTGTTTGGGTTTTTCCCCTTTTAAAATAAATTGCATCAGAATTTTGGTCTGATCCAGCTGCATCTTGGGAAGTGCAACAGGTTTGCAGGACAGCGGTTGAAATCTCACGTGGCACATGCAGAGGTTTGGTATTTCCAGCACCACCTCAAAGTGCAGAGGGGATGGGTGAGGAAGGGAATTGTCTTGGATGAAATGTGCAATATTCTGATGTTATTGATGGGGAGGGTTAGTCCCTAACACAACCTCAGTCCATACATTCCTCCTTGGCATTTTCCTTACTGTCTAGGCAACGTTAAAATATTTATTTCAAACCTAAAGATCTCTGGAAACTGAATTCCTTTTGCATTTCCAGGATTGTTCTCTGACTGGGTGGGAGACATTGGTTTTTGTGGCAGTATTGTGCAGAAAATCAGAAGTTCACCAGACCCTGGTGGTTTCAGGGCTGCTGTCGAGGGTGGGCAGCTCTGGCTGGGCTGCAGCTCTCAGGCAGTGCTCAGGGCACTCAGAGTGACAGGGAAAGGCAGGCACTGTCCAAACACACAGACTCAACACATCCAAAATATCTTTGTTTTAAATTATAGTGAGGAGGGGAATAATTTAGCAATAATATCTGAATTAGGCTGTTGAAAATTGTTCTGAATCCACCAGAAGATCCTGGAAGTTCAGCTCTCCCCAGTTTAAGTTAGTGACAGGATTGGGCTCTCTATTTCTTTTTTATGTGGTATTAAAAATTGCTTTCCCATATTTCCAAAGCCATTATTGAATCTTTTCAGAGCACGTTGTGAAATCTTTGTGTGCATTACTAAACTGCTTGTCCATATGTACAGTAGGGTAATACAATATTTGGGCTTTTCCCTTTTGTTTGGCTTCTGAAAAAAATGGCAAACTAAAAAGCTTTCCTCCTCCCCCCATTTTGGTTTTTTCCCAGGTAAAGTGATGGCAGACATGCTCAACTCAGTTCCATATAACATACTGCTTACTGGAATAACCAATTTAGTTCTCTGCCCTTTTACTGTAAACTTGGATTTGTTTTTTATGTATTTGTGATTTCCTCTAAACCATTTATAAACAGGTTAGAAATACCATTTCATGACTCTATTAATAATCAGAGCTCTTTATATGGGTTTTTTAGGAACCTTTCTGTCTAGTAGGAACAAACGATGATAAACAAAGACCTCCAAACTCTTCCTGCTGCACAAATATTCACTGCATTGTTTTGGTATCCCTTAGAGCATTCTGCCTTTGGTCAAAATGTTGTAGTCAGGGATTTAACTGGTAATTGTTATTTCCAGGAAGATTTCTTTTTATTGTTGTTTTAGAGTACAAAAAGTAGTTTTTTGCAACAACATTCATGTTGCATGAAAAAAAAACTTTAAATCTATTTGGGGATTTTGGTGCCAGATGCAGAAGGCTGCAGGATGGTTTGTCTGCTCTGCCAGGTTCACTGTCCTGGACTTGGTGACCTGCAGAGGTCCCTTTACACCTGAATT